TGTAACCTCTAATCCGACTGCTCTGGTCACAGTTCTAACCTCAGGCTTAGAGGTTTTCAGGCTTAAATTGAAATGGGATGAAGCAGACAGATCAACAAGTCATGAAGCTGCATGGTATGATCCTTTAAAGACTGTCACAGTGGTCCAGTGTGTTTTTATTTCTGGTGCATGATCTAATATGCTGTTTTTTGGGAATCCATCTGTTCAACAGTTAAAATCACCACTAACAATGTTGAGATTGTCTGCCACTGCAAAAACTATCTAGAAATAAGTCAAATTATTTATCCTTAATTTGAGTAAGTGAATAAGATGATTTGCCTATAGAATAGAAAAATTAGATAATATGCACTTGAAATAAGACAATGCAATTTCTTTTTCTTATTTTAAATGTAAATTGTCTTTTTCTATTGGCAAATGGAATTACTAACCTGACAACAGCCACATGCATCTGGTTGTTGTCAGGTTATGGAATTACCTCCTCAATTCAAGAAAAAATGCACTTATTTTAAGAAAAACATTTATTTAGATTTCAACTTTTGCAATATCCGTTATAAGGTTTGTGTTTCAGTCTGCTAGAAAGAGCTGGAAAGAGTGTAAGATCAGACATGCATGGTGTAGGATATGTTCAGCATGGCAGGTTCTAGTGAACACCAAACCAAAACACTGCATAATTGGACTACAAATATTTAATTCTCTGAACTTCCCCAACTCCCATCTCCCACATTGTTTACATTTGATCATTGCTGCACTTTAAGAAATGAAAATGGAAATGTCATGAAAGCTGTACAAAATGAAATTTCATTTTGTATACACTCTCTGTATACACAATGACAAAAGTTGTCTAAGAGGATGCTCATTTTTTCCATAATGTTCTTCATTTTAAAAAGAAATCATATTTGTGAAATCCCCTCTAGATGTTCTAGAGGATTTCCAAGAGCAGAGCAGACCCTTTTTATCAGCTTGTTGGGCTGTTTTTAGTTACTTGCTCTGATGTGGTTACCCTGCCAGATGATGGCGGAAGAGATCACCCTCTCCTCAACAGGTTTTCAGAGGATATGCAGCATCTTGCTGCAAATACTAAAGGACCTAAGCCTCCTTAAGGCTTAGGTACAGTCTCTGTCATTGAGGAATGTTGGTTGAGTTTTATTTGGTGCTGGAATGACGCAGGAAGTCATCCACAACATTGGGTCTTGGCTAAGGTTGAAGAGGAGCTGTGGAACCCCCCAGAGCTCCTCTGCACAGGTCTTCAAGACTCACGGGGTGACACCATCTGGACTTGGATAGTAATGGTGATTTAATTTTTCCAGATGATTTTTAGAGACAGATATAAGTGGGGAGGGAGCAGCACCGTCTACTGAATGGCAGAGAACAAATACATAAAAGCTAGAGGATCCACTTTGGAAGATGAAATATTTGAGGAGTGACAGAGATACTTCAGATCGAAAGAGGGCGGGATTTACATTTGATTGTGAGCAGGAGATAAGAATGCTGAGCTTGTTCTTGAAATGAACCCGTTTTAAAATATATTTAGTTCATTGCTCTGTCCAGACTTCTTTGATCCTCCTTCTACTTAAAGCCTGCAATCTTCTTCATCCCTCGCTACACGTCTGATATTGTTCTGTTAAAGCTTTCGTTTCATCTTCTTCCTACAGTATATACCATCTAAGTTTCTTTTTTCATGACCTCAAGTCGCTTCTGTATGTTCCTCAATAACTCCCTGTCTCCCTTCCTGAAGGCTCTTTTTTCTTGTTTTGCAGTACCTTCATATCACTGTTGATTAAGGGTTTGCCCTTACAAATACAAAAAAAGTCAACCTTCAAATAATTATGTACAGTTATGCACTCAATACTTGGTCGGGAATCGTTTTGCAGAAATGACTGCTTCAATGCAGCGTGGCATGGAGGCAATCAGCCTGTAGCACTGCTGAGGTGTTATGGAGGCCCAGGATGCTTCTCTGTCTCATCACATGGTCAGAAAGCCTGACAGAAATAAATACTCAAGTCTGGCATATGATCATTAAGCCATGTTTCAGTGAAACACATTACACTGCTCTCCCAATATGGAATGTGGTGTAATGGTTTCTTGCTTGGGCTTTAATTTCTTTTAACCTGTTTTCTAAAGATTTCACACAGTCTATTCTGATTTATTGAATAGACAGCAGGAATTTCCATCTCCTCTCTCTTGTTCTTGCTCCTAGCCTGTATCAGTGCATACTTTTTAACTAGGTTGATACTTTAGTAAGCAGTTAGTGTATTATTTCAGATTGAGAGATGTTGATGAACTATTATTGGGTGTAAAACAAAGCCAAACTGCAATGGTTGCTATGGTGATGGATTATAGAAAAACCTGCAAAAATCCAATTACATAGTATTAGACACCAGAGGCAAAAAAGAAAAAAATAATAATAGAAAGGAAACTCTGGATCAACAAAAGAAACTTCTCCAAAAAAAGATCAGCAGAATCCGGCTTGCAGAGCCACACTAATGTGCATTTTTTTTTTTTTAGCAGTCTACCATAAATCTATACACATTTCATGCTTCACTCTGCTTACATGATTCATGGATATGTCATGTTAATTTTCCATCAGGATTTAGAACCTGCAAAACCGGCCAAAAGCAACAAATACTGCACCAATGTCACGGTCACTGTGAATGTTGAGCCAGAAACCCCACCCTTGGGTTACAAATAGAAACACATTTTTAAAAACATTTAAATGTCAAAGTTTGTAATAAATTTAAACATGTAATCATACTTTTAAAATGTGCTGTACTTTATAGGCTTGAGCACAATAAAACGTGGTAAACATGACTATTTTCTGCTTATTTTGCATCCATGTAGATTAAATAATTAGCTGTTTCTTGGTTTTTACACATTCTCATTTTAACATATGTGTTTTTGATTCTAAAAACTGTAAAACAATCTCAAATTTGAGGCAAGTTCTTTATTATTAGAATCTGTAGGAACTGCTAGTAAATCTGCAGGTTAAAGCAGAAAAAAAAAATTGCATTTCTTATGTGTTCTTTTCACTAAAGAGCAGTCAAGTACCGTATATGCTCTATATTCTGACTTAAAATAGTTCAAAATATTAGTTTTGATACATTAATAAAAACCCTACATTTTTTATTGTCTTACCCCTGATCACTGATAAGAGCCAATCGTTAAAATGAATCAATTAACACCACTGAAGAAACCGTAGTTACTTTAAAAGGGGTTCTGATTAATTGTTAAAGCTCTTTTTGGTTATTTTGAGGTTCATTTTTTGTTACAACAGGATTTTTTATTTTTTTTTGCATTGTACTTGGACATAAAAGAATGTTGTGTTTTATATGTTTATATTAACTTAAACTAAATAGGTACTAGACAAAATAAAAGTACCTTCTCCCTGAAAATCAAGCCTAAAGCATTATTCATAGAAAACTGGTATGCAAGGCCAAGCATATTTAAACATGTAACCGCTGATCAGAATACAAAAGCTGTCTGGAAAATAGTCACTTCTGCATACTGTAGAGATATTTAAAAATACATAATCAGCACTACTTTGCTGAAAAAAAAATAGCCAAACTTGCTTGTGTAGGTAAGAGATGCATCACTATTCAATTTTTTTGTAAAATATATATTGTGGAATTCATGCACTAAGAGCTGTTACCTACAGTAGAAATATCCCCAAAATGTTTGAGCTGCTTTGGCATTAAACGGCTTTCAGATACTATAACAGCCTCTTTTCAGTTGCACCTTACATTTTTGATCCGTAGGGGGCAACAAAGTCCTGTATAAAAATAAGTCTTTGCACTTTTTAACCTTCCCATCTAGCTTTTATCAGTTACACTTAGAAATTTCCATAAATACGGATAAACAAAAAATAGGAAATGCATATATGTTTTCTGAAGTCTATGCCAAACCATATATACTCTATGCATGCATAATTTTTGCAGCACTAATGCAGTTTTCCACTTGACAATATGGCAGGGTACACTCTGGAGATGTCTCCAATTCAATGGGGAATGAAGACCCCCCCCAGAGGAATTTGAGGTTAATGATAAACATGTTTTCTAAGGGAATTTATAAAATTCAAGATTTCATAAAGAGATCACTTGCATTAACCAATTTTTCTTTAGCTCATCGTGAAAATGTGTATTTAAGCAGCTTGTAGTTCTAGATCGTTTTCCTCTTAAAGCAGACTAGACCGTGTTAAGGTTCTTGAAAAGATATGTACCTTTATAGAGATGTGACATGCAGTTCTTGTCCTTGAAAGAGATTCAAGTCCATCAGACCCCCCCCACCCTACAGACACTTCATATTGATTCCCTGTCAATTCAAATATTGTTTGAAAGTGAAGTTAAATGACCTGTTTTTTAATAAAGGTCAAATGGATAAATCCTCAGATCATTTACCTCATGAGATAGCCATGCCAGTTTTAGGACAATATTCAAAGAGGTTTGTTTAGAGGCTGGATACCATCTATTCACTTTAACCCCAGAACAAGAACATTTCAATTTAATGAGTCAACTTCCCTTCCATGGAAGACTATTGAATCACATATGTACCTTCTATGCCAAAGCTTTACTTTTGAGTGTTGGAGCTTTCTTGACAAGAAGCTAATTGATCAACTGAAAGTAATTTGATGGGTCTGTCAAAAAAGTAAACATCCCTAAAACCAGGTACAATAAAATTTGGCCACATTTGATTAACCAGCAACTGAGTTTGGAATAGCAGCTGGTCACACGGTATAGTCCAGTCCCTGGAGGATGTAGCACGGTTGGTTGAGCACAGCATCTTCCAAGAACAGCAGAGGGCAGAGTGTGGAGGTCAGCTCCACAAATGATGCAAAGAGACACTAATGCAGTGGTGCATTACAAATGACAAGTTTGAATCAATAATTCATTCAAACATCTGATCGCTGCAGAATTACAGGTTGCATTTTCGACTTGCCATAGTCTGAATGTTATTAGCTTTGGTCAGTGAAAAGCAAGGACAGATGACAAACAGAAGGATGCATTCACTTATTTTATTCATAAGATGGGTGTTTAACATCTTATGCACAGCAGATACAAGGACAAACATTTTCTAAACCACAAACTAAATTCTTTCAGTCTAATCCTGCTACCCATTTCAAAATCCCTACCCTCCCACCAAAAAAAGCAACCCTATACATTTGTAGTCCAGTTTCACATTCTGAAAGATTGCTGTAAAACAATCTCTTTTTAGCAGAATGGCTAGAATTCCAACGTCCCCTTTAAACAAATTGCACTTTTTCTTTAAAACTACTTTAACAGGATACAGGATCGAAAATTAACACCAAACACAAGAGACGACTAAACATCCAACTTATATAGGTTCATTATTTAGTTGCACAAAAATGCATAAATATACATTACGCAAAAAGTACAACATTTGCACTCCTTTGCTCAAATAATGACATACACTGATAAAGAGGCCTGGGATTGTTCAAACGAAGGGATGCATTCACAGGGTCCATGCAAGATAAGCCATTTACACAACAGCCAAACTTGCACAGAGGTTAAAGACAAAGGAGCTACAGGAAGAAACAAAACATTTTGCTGTCTAGGCCAAATGGCAACACAAACACTAAGAAAATTAGGATACACAGAAATCTGCGCTCTATATTCATGCCAAAAAGACTAACATGCAATGACTTAACGCCTCTAAACCTCCTAGGAGCAGCGGCAACCCATGGAAATATTAAACAGTGACTTCAGTTTTCCTCAGCAGGCAGGATCCATGGGGTTTGTATGAATTCAGTTTTAATCTGAAGTGCTAATGGTACCGCAGTAGTTGCCAAGGTTAAGTTCAGATTGTCGACAGCAAGATTGTTTTAACTCCAACTCCCCCCAGAGACAACTGGAAGGAGATAAATACTGTTTATAACAATGCACATCTGTCCATTAAATAAACTTGTTTAAGTTAACAAGGGCATGGCAAACCTCACTTCAGGTGGATAAAGGTGTGGTTCCCAGAGGCCTGAAAAGAACACCAGGAAAAGACAGGTTAGTATTAAAGACGTAAAATCCTCAGCTAAAAGCTGACACTGTAACAATGCATCAGGAAAAAATTACTGACAATATCAAGATGGAAGCCAGTTTAAGAACCTAGAGACTGAGATCAGGATGTTGCAGTTTTAAATAGTTTGGTAGGTTAGATTTTTGATGCATGAGAACATTTACAGCAGAAACTACATTTAGCTAGTCTTCACCTTCTGCATAGGACTTAATAGGATGAATAAATCTGGAAGTGGTATAGAGCTTATATATCATACCGGATTGTAAGGATAACCTGGATGGGTTCATAATTCTTCATTTTTCTCTTAGTTTATACAAGTCAAACTCATTTGTACGACAGTATTAGGGCAAGGCTACAGATTTTTTGCCATTTCAAGAATAAAGTCATAACATTACGAGAATAAAGTCGTAACACTACGAAAAGTCAAAATTATAATAAAGTTGTATTTTATGACAACTCTTACAAGAAGCATCGCTTTCCCTAAAAATCAGGAATTTTGCACATCATGTGAAGTTATACTTTGGCTTCGGTTTCAGAAATAAGGACATCTTTTAGCAACATCAGCATCAAATTGGACAGGATGTGGACTGTTGATGTTCAGGGGTGCTGGTTGGATCTACCGTAAAAGGTTTATTTCTGTAATGGGTTGTGGTATGATGACTTCTTGTAATATTCCAACTTTATTCTCAAAATAAAAATAAAATCTGTAGCCTGGCCCTAATATTCCGTAGTACATTTGAGCATTTATTTATTCATTTATTTTCTTTTATTAAAGGCACCTTCCCTGTTAGACCCATTGGCACTGACACGATGATAGGTCTATGCATGAAGGAGTTTATTACGATTATTGGTGTGAAAAAAAACAAAAAAACTACACTTGTCTGGTTACACATCTTTGAACCAGGAACATGAGAGGGCAGATTTTAACTGCTGGTGTTGCATTTGTTGGTGGACACAAAACACCTTTTGTCAAAATGATGAGTTCTCTCCATCCTCTAAAACTCAAACTGCTGTGCTGCCATTTCATTTTGCTGTTTGCACCTTGCAATATGTATGAGTGTAACAGCGCCCCCACTGGGGCTGGCATGTATTCTACAGTGGTTACAGATTTCTCAAGTAGGTGAAAATTTTTTCCTCAACCATTACATTTTTTTTTCCTTGTTATAAACATCCTGCTAATTCAACTGGGAAGAAAGTCTTTGAAAGATATAAATCCACTTTACCATTTTCTAGAAATGGAGAAAAGGCCTGTCATGAGTGGGTTATGCTCCGATTAGGAACTTTAAAACTGATTTCTATATTCCATTTAGTTTCAAAGAGACCGATACCAGCTACTTTAACCCTTTTGATTTTTCCTAAAAACCTGCAACAAATAGTTTAAAATTGATTTAAACTGATTTATACACATCCCAACTTGCACCACAGTGTTTCTTACGTGCCTGCTGGAAATGTTCTAATAGTTTAAAAACTGCTCCAACAACATCTGGTATGTTTCTAAAGAGGTCCAATGATAACACAGGTATTTTAAAACTAGGGGTTGCTATAATCCGCTTATATTCTGGAACAGTTCCCCCCTGCTGCTGTAAATACTCTTTTGCACCAAGTCAAAACCAACTGCAACAATATTTTCCAGGACAAGTAAGGCATGTTTGGTAAACTAGACCATTCCATATAGGTGCATTACTAATTAAAATACGGAAAAATATATCAGTTTTAAATATTTGAGTCAACTCGATTATGGCTTGCAAGCCAATGAGAGCACAAAATTTAGTTTCTCAGAAAACTAAAGTTAGGTTTTTGTACTGACATGCCAAGACTACATAAATGGCCTACACCACCATGCAAAACTTTTGAAAATCATAGGAAACCTCCAAAAAGGCTGCTGTATGCAATTATTTCTAACGAACAGCCATCAGGGGTAGCTGCAGCTTTAAGAAAACTTGACTGCAGTTCAGAGATCTAAAATACCTTTTATTTGAAGAAGTTTCACATTTCATCTTTGTCATTGACAGGACAACTGAATGCAAATTGCTTGGTGTCCAGTGTGAAGCTTCCTGGTTGACTCTGGGAGCCACTTTATTACTTTTAAAGTTAAAGCCATCTACTTTGAATGGAATTGTTCATTTTAAAATTTTCCATTTGCTGCAGGATACTCATGCAACGGTCCACTCTGCCTAAAATCAGTGTGCTTCAATCCACTATTGCTGTTCAACTAGCTAGCTGGCCCAAAACCCATGGAGAATATAGTGCATTCAAATAGCAGCACAACACAAGACCACCCTTTCTGCTCTTCAACTCCTCATGGGAACTAGAAAGTTTGTGCTTGTTCCCAACACAGCTCTGTTTACCGTCTGTCCATGTCGCTTGGCGATAAAAACTTAGCAAAAGATAATATTTGCACTACACTGTCAAATTCAATATCAGCAAACTTTAAAATCCACTGGATACATAAACAGTAAAGAGGATCAACAAGAAGAATCTAGCAACGAACAAGGATGTACAATGGTGTTAGGGAGCACAAAGATTGGCATGTGAGACAACCAAATGATCTGATCCTCCCCAGGAACTCTAAGCCAAAGGATCATCCACTGCACCCTGCTTCCTATTACGGTCCTCTAGCATTAGTGTCTCACATCTTTAAGATGACTCTCTGCTTCAGGCCTGGGCCCAAAAATCAGGTCATTAGCAGAACTGATGAACTTGACGGCATACAGAGAAGGTAACTCTGCGATTAGATCCACGTGTGTGAGCAGAGACATCCAAAACGTGCAGGACACCAGACCTCCAGGACTGCAATTTAATATGTCCGGACTATACCTTTAACATCTTCATTTCACACTATATCCCAATTCAAAATACCAGCACAGGAAAAACAGAGTGCAAGTGCTGTACACCAAATCCACATCTAGTTAAGATCTTTAAGAGTTTTTATTAATCGTAAACATTAAAGATGACTGGTTTGTGGTTTGATTCATTGTAAGCCATAATCAAGATGAACAAATTGAAATATTACACACATACATTGTGAATCCAGTTTGTGAAATAAGTCACCTTTTCATTGATAATTGAGTTATTCTAAAGCACCAGTCAATTGCTGGAATCTGCATCCTGCCCTTTAAGGTCTTTTTTCCCCTTATTCTTAACAGATTTTTGGGTCAGGTTGTACAAAATGTTTGGTTTTCTAACTAAAAATCTTATTAACAGTCAGGCCCCCTCAATGCCAAAAAGTATTTTTCTTTTCACTTCAAACAAGGTTACCAATTTTTTTGCATTGAATACTGATTTACAAGTGAGGAAGAGCATTACTCACTAAATATTTAACAAAACTGCCGGGACTTCCATCCAGGCTGGGAAGTCTCAGAAGGGGTAGGGTACCAGCGCATCTAAAGAAACACAAACAAAGTCATGTACACCACACCAAAACCAAAATTTAGTTCCAACTGTTGCAGAACCATTTGAAATCTGGCTTTGGAGAGGTAATATTTAGGGGACTGTCCCTTTAAGCCCAGCTCACTAAGGCCATGGGAATGTGGGGCACGTAGCTGCTTAACAAGGACAATGGTCCAAGTAATTAACAAGAAGCTAACGTGGAGAACTGAACCGCTATGTCCAGGCATTTTCACAGTGCTAGCATATTTAGGTTTGTATAAACCTCATCAGTAGGATGTGTCCAGAGCTCGTTTCCTTTCATGCTACAATTGCACAACCAAGCAGATTTAATATACGGTTAGGAGACCTTTAGGGACTTCTACCTTTGCTGCCTAACGGCACTACAGGCGTCAGTAGAGGAACATTTGCAGAGCCCAGGGCCCTTAAAGGATCTTTCATCAGAACGTAATTAAAAGTGCTCCCTCTCCCCTCCTCCATTATGGCAGCTACACAGCCATGCTATGCTCCAACCACAAGGTGGACAGTTAGTTGGCACCTCAAGTGAAGATCAACAGGTCTGACAATTTCTCCAAGTAAATACCTGACATTCTTCTGCTTTTGGAGTCAGACTTTGACTCCCTACTCTGAAGCAGCACTACCCTGGAGGAAGTTAGCTGGCAGTGAACTTTAAATGACCCAATGTTAGAAATATTTTCCATTGCTATTGTTGCTACAGGTCCTGCCCAATACTTTATTTGTAGCTGTAGCATGAGCACAGCCGTCAGGATGACGCAAATGCTGTGTGGCTTTATCTGAACATGCAATGATCCTTTTTTGCTGCAAGAATGAGGCTTAGATCTTGAGAAGTGCCACTAGAGTGCTTAAAATGTAGAACTGTGCCTTCAAGTAAAATACTTGTCTTTTGTATTCCAAGAATACCTTCAGCTTACAGATTACATTTTCATTCCACAACCAATAATAAAAAAAAGGGATGAACCATGTGCCATTAAAGGAAGAAAGTTGTATCCATTTCCAATAGGTTAAAAAAATAAAATATTCAAGTGACAATCGGTATCAGGTGAGAAACCCCTTTGCAAAGGCCTATAAAGGCATTTATTGCTGCAAAAACTCAAAACGCCACTTAATTTGCCATCTAGCAAATCACAGGGCAGTAACTCAATGCATTATAACAATCGTCTCCTACACAACTGAAACAAGTGGCTAAACTACTTCACTAACAACAGTCAGGCTCAGCCAATGAGCTCACATTAGAGTGAAGGATGTTGAAACAGATGCATCTAAAAGTCCAGGATAGCAGCCCTTAAAGACTGGAGTATGAGACCGGCACGCTGTTATGAAGACGACTTGCAGAAAGTGTTGATCTGAACCTGTCAAAGTGCTTATCTAGTAGGCGTTTCCACAAAACAACCCAGGTTAACAGAATGGTCTGACAGTTGTGGCTGTAAATGTCTTGATGTTAGAATAGACTGGTTCAGAATAACCAACTGAAATTTTTATTTTTTATTTTTTTAAAACGTACTTCAAAGCCCAGTTTCCACAACCCTTTTGAAACCGTGCCGTGTGAATGGTACGCACAACTGAACCGGACCGTGCCAGACACAACCGACCTGCGCTAACATGGTACTAGTTCAGTTCTGGCACCGTTCTTAGATAAAGAGCGCATGAGCAGACCGCATCATCTCCATAATCATGAATTTTCAGACATTCATAAAAATACTGGCGTCCCTATGGTGCCACATGATTTCCAGTGATTATTCTGCCAAGCAGTGTGATGAACCTCGACGTCTGTCGTTTCCTGCATCTGTAAGCCCTGATTAGACTATCGTTTGTCGTATCCACTTCCCAACAGTAAATCCAAAGGCTGCCTTCTTCACCCGACTCTCCTCAAACAACGAAATATCACAACATCATAACTTCCTGAATGTTACAGGCACCACCAAGTTGATATGCTTGTTTACCTCTAGAGAGCAGTAGTACCGTAGATCGTCACTAGGAGGCGAGGAGCCGCGCTAGCACGGTGTGTAAATGGTCGTAAGGAACAGAGCCGGGCACGGTTAACTGATCCAAGCTCAGCACGGATAGGTTTTTAGAGGGTAGTGTAAATGGGGTATAAGACAACACCTTAAAGTAGAAGAGAACCAGCAGAAAACCACACTGGGTCTCCATGTTTGCCAAGAACAGGAAACTGGACAGTCAATATAAGCTGTGATATTTAGATTTAAGGGTCCAAATTAGCACTGACTGAACATGGTTTGTACCATTGCTGTCGATGGCCATATCCTTTAGTCCAGTGTAGCCATCTTCTGACTGCGACTTCCAGTAGCGCAAGATAAATTATGTTAAATTAATAGACACCAGGCTCCACATTTAAGCCTGCAATCTATTGAGCACCTTTGGGATGCGATATTGGCCGCAAATCTAGAGAAAATGTTTGCCGTCATGTCAATATAGACCAAAACCTTAGAGTGTTAAAAAACCATCAAGTCTAAACCATGAAGAATTAATAGAGGCATGTCCAGTTACTATCATTTAGTCTTTGAACTTCCATTCATATTTTGACTAGGTTTAACCCCAGCACAGCAGATATCTGGGTAAAGGAAAAAAAAAACAAAAAAAAAAACATTTTATCATCAATTTGATTTCAGCTTCCCTTTTAATTTATACATCAGATACAAAACTCCATAGTGTCCAGAGTATTAAAGCTTTAGGAAGAGAAACACACCGGTTGCTCCCTCACCTGGGCGTGGAGGGCTGCAGCGGCAGCAGCAGCCGCCGGGTAGGTGAAGGCCGCGTGGGGGAGGCCTGGGGTCAGCTCTGTGGTGTACAGGGGGTACGGAGTCCAGGCATCTGGTGATGCTGGGATCAATGCCGCCCCTGTCAGATCATCTGAGGATGTAAAGAATGGCAATAGAAAAACTGACTGCACTGCTACAGCTGCTCAAATAGATGCACACTCGCATATTTCTAATAGAGGCCGATTACCAAACATGATAAAAATATGACAGAAAGTCTGATGACTTTGTTACAGATCCACCACAGGTGGATATCACTGTCAATTTATATAGCTGAAAATATAATTTCAAGATAGTCATTCCACATCATTTAAATAAAAACAGAAGCAAATGGCTTTTTTTTAAAAATGCATCAAGAAAATGAAGGAAATGTAGAAGATTTACTGTAATTTAAAATTGTGCAGCTTTAAAGCCAGCTTTAGTTTTTCCCCACAACAGTAAATTTATCTGAAAGAAACCCTGACATTAACTGTAGCACTTGTCAACCACCACCAGTCTCAACCTAATGAATCAAGCAGATGTTTAGGCAAACAGAGCAGAAATGTCACTGCAGACCAAAACCTGCAAGTGGAATTTCCCCAGCTGTACAGAAGCAAAGCAACTGAATAAAGAATAGCAATGACACATGCAAGTGAAGGTGAGTTAGTCCTTTAATTTGTTAGAAACTGCTGATTCCCCTCCCAAACCAAGTAATCCCAAAACATCTTCAGATCTTAAAGAGGGCAACCAGGGCCACTGAGCACTGACACTGCCAAGGTGAGTGTGGATGAGAGCCTAGAGTAGTGCAGCTGTAGAACTTACATGGGTCCCGTGCAATGAAGTGTGCTCCTAGAGCAGGGTGGATATTTGTGGGGTTCGGTGTGGCCATCAGCTTACTCTTTGCCATCTTCGTGTTGGCTTTAGCAAACTCTAAGCGCAGGGTCTGGGGGCTTTCGGGATCAAAACGGATACCCTGGGAGGAGAGACGGAGGAGGGGGAGGAGGACATGGTTGTAAGGGAGGCGAGCTGAGTTCATTGGGGGGGGGAGGGTTAAAGTTTAGCAGTCTCACCTGGCCCCCCCTTCCCTAAAACTGTGTTTCAATAGTCAGGGTGCATCTTTCAAAGATCTGAAGGATACACTTCTGATATTTCCACACGCTCCCATCTTGTTTTCCTTGTGAGCCACAAGGAGAAGGAGATGAGGGGAAAAGGAGGCCAACAGCGAGATATTGTCATTTATTTTTGGTGGTTTAACCCTGCTTTTGTGTTTTGTGCCCTAAGCATTGTGCCCACATGCAGGTGAGTAGTATTTTGGTGTATGTGTTTTGTGTGTGTGTTTGACTGCTAGTGTGTCTAAGAGGTGATGCTCCTAAGGAATGCTAAGCTATGAGAGAGAAGTGTTAGATACTGCCAACGTGGGCTATGGGGTGACAAAAATAAGAGGTTACACTACTAATGATGTGTCCAAATAACTACACATGTGGCTATAGGACAGGTATTACAGTAAAGCAGTGGTATGCAAAACTGAGGAGAGCTATTAGACTAAGAAGAATGTGTATCAAGGTCAAAGTAAACTACCGTAAGGCTACGGGATTCTGGCCTCTTTCCAAAAATGGCCCTGCCATTGAGTTGTAAGAGACAAAACGGGTCGGCTTTGAGAAATTTCAGAGGGAGAGATGACGTTTCTTACAATGAAGTTCCAATCATTTTGAGGATTAAACAAACAGGTTAGCACAACAGATTTAGAAGATGGGGGAAAAAAAAAAAAAAAAAATAGGGGAGAAATTTTCTAAACTCTTCAAGAAATTGACTCGGGTGAATTCAAACTTGCCGCTTACATTTAGAGCATTTTTTGCAGCTTCAGCTCCAGAGCGACTGTCGAAAGTTACAAACCCGACAGGCTGCAAGACAAAAGAAATGCGTTGTAAAATGCCAACTCACCTCAAACTTAAATAAATTAAATCCTCAATAAAATAAAAGTTAAGCTGCAAATGACAAATCCATCTGGGTATCAGAAGAGCTTCAGAGCTGGTGGAGAGTACCTCACCTGTTTTGATGTTAACTTAATCAGTGACCCTTCATAACCCTGTGGGGAAAAAGATAGCCAATTATCCACCCTGAAGTCACATGGAGGAGGTCAGGCATAAAACATCTCACTATATGAAGCCAAATCTGCCTTAAGGCACCATCAAGTCAATCAATCATAGAACTTCCTTTTGCATTTGTAACAATAGAGCAACAAAAATACAAAAAAGATCATTCGATTAACTGGGGGAAAAAAAATATTGGTATTCAAAACCTTAATATCAACATAGAATAGGTTTAACATTCAAAACAGCATTAAGGATGGTTATAATAGGACAAACTCAATATAAAAGCATTTTTCTATAACCATAGGAAGGTGGTTTGCTTCCAAATAAGACCCATAAGCATAGAAAATGTAATTTACCCATGGAGGTGTATGGCAAAAAAAGAAAAAAAAAATATGCAACAGCTTCAATAAATCAGGAGGAAATCACCCTTGTCTTCAAAATCAATTTCTTTTCCCTGCAAGATCTGCTTGAAGCAGCTCCCAAACACGGAGCTGTGTTTGCCTCATGATGAAATAAAAGCTAAACAATTGCAAAATTAAAAAAAAAAGTTGTAGTTAAAAAAAAAATAGTTTCACAATGTGCAAATGTTTGAGGTGCATGTCCAAATTTCCCTGCTTGTGTGTGAGCTGGGTCAGAGAAAAATCGCTTGGCCAATCGCAAGAGCTACTCATTTACACATTCCACAGGACCATCCATGTGCGAGGGACAACACTTCCAATTTGGTTCGTTAGGACAACGGTGGGAGGAGGGGGGGTGTTTATGGAACTTGGGCCGAGAAAGGAAAAAAAAAAAGCGTAATAGTTTAACAATGATGTGACCTGATTTCCATATATGCAAATGTGTAAACTTCCTTTAATAGAGAAACTTTAAACAGAGAGACCTTCGTTCTGGAGCCTAGCATTAGACGAGTCATTTACTAGATTGAAATGATTAGTGGCTAAAAAAATAAGTGTACCTGCACTTCAGATGAAAGTTCCTAAACACTACAGGAATGCCCCTCTGCACATAATCCCTTCATAACTATTTTCCATGAATTTGCCCCAGAAGCTTGTGAACAGCAGCTTTTTTTTTGTTGAAAAATGGTGACAAATTTGTTCCATTTAAACGCTGCAAGCTTCAGTAAAAACCAATGGACTATCCTAAGAAATATGTGCTGCAACTTGCCTTAAAAGGTCTGAAAAGAAGATAAAGTTCCCGTGGTTTGATGTCAACTGGTAGACCGCTGACAAACAGAGTTCGAACCTGCAAATAAGGAAAAATAATGAAATTGGTCATTTTAAAGCCTTGTTTCAAAAACAGATGCATGCAGTTTTGTGAATAAATGTGAAACCTCAATTTTACTTGAAATATAAAACAAAAGACCTTGGAACAACATTTATACATTCCTTAAATCTCCTTTATATTTGTTTTAAAAATAAAAGGCTTCAAGTTTATAGTCCACCTCCAGTTAAATATCAGATTCAGTTTGATATTAATACAATTGAGGAAAAAATACTGAACTGTATAATAGTTCAATGGTTTTTCTTCATCTCTTTGCAATTAACTCGTTAACAAACCAAAGGCAGGGCAAAGGCTGTGTGATATGGGGACAGAAAAAAAATGGCCAACAGGAAAATTGTATAAGCAGACTCAAAAGAAAAAATTCATATATACCAAAAAAATATGGTCTTCAATATTTTACTATAGCCAATTAATGTAACTATTGTAGCAGGACATTGTTTCTAGTAGCAAAAAAAGGACAGCAAAAAAAGGGAAAGCATGCATCAGCTGGAATTATAAATGGCAAAAGGATGCATTAATGCAGAGAAATGTTTACATATTTCTTACTCCATCCAAAGGCAGAGAAAGTAAGATCAGATATTAGAAAAGTTTCAATATTCTCCTTCCTGTTAAACAGAAAACCCTAATACCCAAATCCCATCTCTGCATTGGACTAGAAATCACGTTGTCAGGACACATTAGCTTGATTTAATAGAGTTAAAATGTTTCTGCCCTTTTCCCCCCAGTGATAAAATTTGCTCAGGCCGCCTATATGTAAAGTGGAATCTTTGATCCCCTTGAAGGACCCATGGCCCCCCTTGACTGGACAGCAAGCGTCCTTATTCCAGCATGGCCGACAGAATAAAGGCCTATTAGTCCTCAGTCGGCAGGGAGGCCTTCAGCACAATGGAGCAGCAAGAGGAACAGCGTTGGACAACAGTGCACAGCGTGACACAATTTCCTTCCTCCGACCAGTCGCCCCTGCCCTGTCCGTCCAACATTTTTCAGGTGCTGCACGGCGGCGGTTCTCAGCTCCTTTTACATGTCAGTGTATACAGAAGATTAATACCAGATTAACAAGGACACAATGAAGTAGATGTTTTCATTTATTCTACAGTTTATGAATTTAACTGCCTTAAAAGTGCAAACCTAATGATGTAAACTTAGAATTATAATTTAATTCTAATATGGTCAGGGAAAAAAAATGTTAAAGCATTTTTCCAAAATGTTTTCCTCTTCCTCCATTTTAACCACACATTTCATCTTCTAAAGACAATGAGGAAGGATGCATGCAAAGCAAATTAGCAGCAAGGAAAAAAAAAAAA